GCAAACCCTAAAGTGTTGTACCCCATATGAACTGCCCCACTACAGCCTACACAGACTATAGCATAAATGCCTGACACTTAACATAGGCCTGCGCTTATATCCGAGGCCATACGGTAGTAGGTTCATCTAGGAGGGCCTACGGTTAGAACGTTCCTATTTGCCGCAATGAGTTCGACGTCATATACTTCTAACACAGAGTCCGACTCAGGCGATGACGACACAGAGTTTTGCTTCATTGGAACTGGAGAGCTGAAGCAAAGCGATATGTACCGTGCGTTGCTCCAGGAAATGGTCGCCGACGAGGCTCCCTCGCCACAAATCGTCATAGATGATCGAGCACCGTTGTGTGAAGGTCAACTTTACTCGTCTAAGCAATTTTTGTACGAAGCACTGGAGGACTATTCCGTAGCTTGCAACTTCGGATTTATGGTTACGAGGAGTAGGCGAAACAGAGCCAAAGCCATTTGCATGAGTCAACATGAGCGCCGTAAACCCCCGTGCCGGTGGCAGTGTGAGTACTCTACTGACGGAGTGGGTGGGTTTTGGCGTGTCGATAAACTGTCCGCCCCATCATCCCACTGTTGCTCACTCATTGATCGGGACCGCTACGTGATACACACGACAAATAAAGTGTCCTATCTGCAGCGTCATCACGGCAATCTTGTCCAAGCTGCACCACATCACCCTCTCGGGACGTACAAGGAACAGATTGCGTCTACCGGTGGTCCCGATATTAATTATAAACAATCTTGGCGGTAAGTTTTCTAGCATTCATTCCACATGACTTCTATTGTCACATGCAAGTTCTTAATCACCCCATCCACCTCATGTTTGTGCCACCTTCTTTTGTTATCTTGCACACCATCGTCCGTTTTTGCAGGCTCAAGGAAAAGATGCTGAAGGAACGTTCTGGAGATTTGGAAAACGTCTTTTCGCTACATTCCGCGGGTGTTGGAACGCTTCAAAGAGATTGACGCTGATTCAACGCTCGACCTGGTAACAAGGGATCACGCTTTTTTCTGGGCTTTTGTCGCCCCATCGGCGTCAAGAACTGCTCTAAGGTTCTGTCGTCCAGTCATAGGTTTGGATGGTACATTTCTTATTCGTGCGCAACGGGCCACGCTCTTGGTAGCAGCTGCTAAGGATGGAAATAACCAGCTTGTTCCACTCGCTTATGGCCTGTGCGAGGGTGAAAACAAAGATAGTTGGAAGTGGTTTTGTGAGAATTTGTTGAAGCATTTTCCGTCGTGGCCGGCCACCCAGGATGCCTCCCTCATCAGCGATCGTGACAAGGGCTTAATTCCGGCGGTTAAAGAAGTTTTCCCATCCCAGTTCCCCCACTACTTTTGCAGCTGGCACTTGGAGCAGAATGTGCTCAAGTTTGGCCCTAACGCCTACGAACTCTTCAAGAAACTCGCCAACTGCCACACTAAGCGGAAGTTTAGCAGACTCGTGAGGAGATGCCGGGCCGAATGTGCTGCAATGGCTATCTATCTCTTTGGGGTCGAGGAGGCCAGTGCGCAGCAGAGCCGTGGTGGACGCGGGGCCAACCAGCGTGCACGGGAGCCAGATGCAGGGGATGGGTTGACAAGCCGCACGGGTGCTGCTAGAAGCGCGAGAATGGCAAGGATGGAAGTGCGGCGGAAAAGGAGGAGTGGTCGCAGGGGAGAGCAGCACGCACCATCACAGCAAGAACCTTCTCAGCAGGCACCATCTCAGCAACGACCATCCCAGCACCCAGTGACACAACCACCATCATCGTTGCAGGGACGATCTCAGCTGCCACACGCCTGGCAGTATCCATTTCAACAACCACCATCTCAGCGTACACCGTCAATCCACAGAAGAGTACATCAGCATTCCCGTCAGCAACAATCAACCCAGCAGCCAGCATTTCAGCAGCAGCCATCTCAGCAGCTTCCATCGCAGCCGCCCCAAAGGGACCATGGGTTGCCCCCCATGCCAACTGCAGATCACACGTGTCACCGGCCTAGAGACATGCAGCCTCAATCGGCGGCTGCTGACAACATGCATCCACTTGATCGTGTGACAGCAACCACATCCGCGCACCCTTCTTTGGCAGGCGAGAATGAGAGAGACAATGCTACAACCATCTCTGACAATGAGGCGGAGGCAGATACTGCGGAGATAACTGCTGCAACGGGAGCTAGACTACGGGCTAGGCACGGGTGCTCGTGTGATCTCTGCGTTCGTTCACTTAGTCGTTTTCTTGTGTTCACGCTGCTTGCTAGTTCACGGGGAGAATTGGCAAGAGTTTCACTAGGAAAGTTGACAATAATGATCCAAATCAGTTGGCATGGCAAGACTACATCAGAGCTAGCATTCAGGTCGGTCGACTGCCAACACAGCATGGTCGACCGCGTTCCAGCAGTGCAAAGTCGACGGCGTGCCAACGGTGCAGGTTGACAGCGTGCCAACATTGCTCCCACAAAACAGCAGCGCACCTACTTCGCAGGTGCTCGTAGATGATTGGCGGGCTAAGCCTCGTCACCTGAACAGCGCACGCACCAAGTCATCCTCGTGCTGACAGCTCCACCTGATCCGCCACGTCGACCTCGGGATACCACCACCGAGGTCGGACTCGCCAACTTCGCCTGGGCGACCGTCACGCTCCTTCGCAGAACCTCGTCACCCAGGTATCCCGGTCGACCGGGCAACCATGTCGACCAGATGCTCCTGTATGTGCTCGTCGACCTCCCAAATCGACGACCACCCCAAGTCGACCTCACCAGGTCAACCATACCTCTGGTCGACCAGCTCCAGGTCGATGTCACTCCTGGTCGACCAGCTCCATGTCGACCAGCGCAGTTCTCAGCCGACCACCCAGGTCGGCTACCCGAAGTCGGCGTCACCAAGTCGGCGCCGACTTCCGGGTCGACGTGCCACATCGCCGACCACCAAGTCGGCGGCATTGTAGTGGCCCCGTGCAAGTCGACCAACCCCGTCGACCAGCTCGCCCAAGTCGGCGTCGCCCACTGCAACAAGTCGGCTGTACCTCCCGTACACCCAACCACGAAGTCGGCTCCGCCCAAGCGAGGACGGGGCCAACAACAGCTCCCGTTGACAGATACCACAGATGAAGTATTCAAGGAGCACTTTGACGTGGAGGATGGGAGTCAAATCAGCTGCGGGGAGGATTCGGAGCCTGATGGGGATGAGGAGCGTATAGACATGGGCCATGGCTGCCAATCCAACAATACTACAACTCAACCGCCATCCACCACAACAGCGCAATAAGCGGCCATGAGACGCCAACGGAGGATGGAGATTATCAGGGGAAGGCGGAGTGCAAGAGAGGCAGGTGCAAGAAGGCAGGAGTGCGCCGGATCACCAGTAGCACACCTGCCTACGCAAGGGAGCCAAAGTGCACGTCAGCCACTGCCGCAGCAAGATGTTCCGACAAACATGGGTCGGGCCAACGAAGCCGCAGCGGCAACGGACGTTAACCATGGTGTAGTGACGGGATTGGGGGGGCCGGGCAATGCTGATGCTGAGCGCGTGGACAGTGACACAATGGAGGATGCGGCGGGCATTATTGTTCGCACAGGCCAGGATGGACCGAGATACAAGAGGAAAAAAAAGATCACCAGGTAAATGGATGTTAGCCCCTTGATCACCAGGTACTGGAAGACGGAGAACTGGAGAAGGACGTACTCGGCACTCATTCCGTATTCGTGTATAGACACGGTCATCGCGGAGACCAAGCCCGTTGAGGAGGGAGTTTGTGACCCCCCGGTCTTTGTGCAGAGAGGATCAGGGCGGCCACAATCCAACCGAAGGCGTGAAGCGCCAAAACGGACATACAAATGTGGCGACTGTGGGTCCACTCAGCATACCAGGAAGAAGTGTAAGGGAAAATATGGGGGGTCAGAGGTGTATCGTGTAGCAAATTAATGGTATGGGGTACGATAATTTGCTGAGTGTTGAATAATAGGGACTGTCGGAGGCTGCTTTTTTTTGCTTCTATATGAATATAGGAGACTGTCAAGAACATTGATTAATGATCCCACTTATGACCGGTCATGTAATCATACGTTCCCGACCAATGATATACTCTCGAACAATTGACCGGCCCTATAGCATTCCGCACTTGACCTGTAATACACACACGCACATATGATTGCGCATATGCTCCCTCGTATATGACCGGTCATATACACAAGAGCACGCGACTGGTCGAAACACAACGCGCATATGACCGGTCCACGAGGCAAATTTGGGGTTCGATGTTTATCGCGCACGCACACCGTTACGTGCGAGAGACGGATACAGTAAAGTGGTTTCGGTAAATGCTATCTATACAATAAAATTAGGGTTGTAAATGTCAACACTATCTCACGTCAGTTGTGATGCACCGTAGGTTGATATTGAAATATGTATTCACGCTTATGGTGTCATGCAGTAGGCTGGAGACAGCCACTTGTATTTCCCTTACAAGCACAAAAAAATGACCGTGCGAGTTTATGTGTCATGCATTCGAACTTCCACCGCGTCCCTTCCTCCCATACACCGTCACAGCTTGCTCGGCATGGCCTTCGAGAAGGAGCACGGAAACCGACCTATAGAAGAGATGAAAGCGGGGCTCGGGAGATTCCAGCCACACGTCATGGAGGTGTGTTTACCTGTTGTACGCTCGTATAACTTGCAACAACCTATCGTTATGCGTGCGCTGACATGCTGTTATAGCAACCGATGTAACCCTGCCGCAACCATGCACATGGTGCACCCTTGGTCACGATGCTGCGAAACAGCCCCACCAGTTCTTTCGGGTGTATGGTGCCAATGTGCTAAGTGCTACATTCAGTAGGGGCATGGTGCGTTCAATTTTGTTTAACGCTGCATGTGCCTTTGCTGTATTGCAGGCGTGGTAGATGCCTTTGCAGCAGAATGATGTTGACTGCGGCATCTTCGTCTGCCAGTACATTCATGCGCTTGTGGAGGCGTGTTTCAAAGGAGCTGAGAACGGGGTGTGGCTCAGCATGAGCCCGTTGGCGTACCGACGTGGGTTACGGGAGGATGTATGCGCTCTTGCAGAAGGGCGGCTGATCGGCAAGCTCACGGCAGCTGGGCATGAGATCCCTCCTGGCAACGAGATCAGGAAACCGCATGAGGCTGAGGTGATTGGCGATGAGGTGGAGGATAAGGAGTGGAGAGCGGAGATGGCCAAACGGATGCATAGGCTGGAGGTTCGCAATGAGGGTCAGGCAGTGGCTATTGCCAAGCTTGAGAGGCAATTGCATGAGCTGATGCTGTCCCGTGCTCCGCAGCATGGCATTGACGGTGAGGCTGCAGGGGAGGGACATGGTAATGAGGCAGGGGACGGTGGAACTGGTGAACAGGCAGGTGTGGAAGACAAGGGTAGGGTCAATGCTGGCACACACAACAGCATGAGAGGGGCACATGGAGAGGGTCCTGTGGCCGCCGATGAGACATGTGAATGTGTGAAAGACAGTATGCGTGACGGTGTTGGGAAGGGTGATATGGTTGACGGTGCGAGGAGTAACAGAGCGAAAGTGGGGGTGCGTGTTGAGGGTGCTTGAGGCTTGCTGGTGTCAGATTTATATGACATAGTTTCTGTAGGCTATAGTGGGGTAGCACATATGGGGTACAGGGTTTCTAGGGTTGTATTTGTACCCAATCTTCCATAGTCATTTCATTCCTGTTTTCCTTGTTTCACATGGTATAGAGCGGGTCCTACCTTAGGACCGGTTTTTTTTAGGGCCCACCGAAGCGCGCCCCGAGGCGCGCCTTTTTTTTTAGCGACCCCTCGGGTCGCCTTTTCCCTCGCGGCCCCGCTGTCCCTCAGACGCGGCCCCGCCACCTCTCCTGATCGCGGCCCCGCCGCCTGTTTGACGCGGCCCCGCCGCCTCCCCTGACGCGGCCCCGCCGCCTCCCCTGAAGCGGCTCCGCCGCCTCCCCTGACGCGGCCCCGCCGCCTGTTTGACACGGCCCCGCCGCCTTCCCTGACGCGGCCCCGCCGCCTCCCCTGACGCGGCTCCGCCGCCTCCCCTGACGCGGCACCGCCGCCTCCCCTGACGCGGCTCCGCCGCCTCCCCTGACGCGGCCCTGCCGCCTCCCCTGACTCGGCTCCGCCGCCTCCCCTGCCGGCCCGCCGCTGCTCCTGCCGGCCCGCCACTGCACCAGCCGGCCCGCCGCTGCACCCAGCGGCCCGCCGCCTCTGACGGCCTCGCCGCTGCACCTGCCGGCCCGCCGCCTCTGACGGCCTCGCCGCTGCACCTGCCGGCCCGCCACTGCACCCTACGGCCCGCCGCCTTCACCTGCCGGCCCGCCACTGCACCTGCCGGCCCGCCGCTGCACCTGCCGGCCCGCCGCTGCACCTGCCAGCCCGCCACTGCACCGGTCAACCCGCCGCTGCACCTGACGGCCCCGCCCCTGGATCTCCTGGCCGAGCCGCCCCAGCAGCCGAACCGCCCGTGAGCCGAGCCGCCCGACGTCGAGCCGCCCGGGACCCGAGCCGCCCTGCCGCCGAGCCGCCCGGGAGCCGAGCCGCCCTGCACCCGAGCCGCCCAGCCGCCGAGCCGCCCGGGAGCCGAGCCGCCCGGGAGTCGAGCCGCCCGGGAGCCGAGCTGCCCTGCGCCCGAGCCGCCCAGCACCCAAGCCGCCAGGTCGCTGAGCCGCCTTTCCGCATACCTACTCGACCTGCCCTGCCTGGTGAGCACAGTCCCACTGCCACTGCGAGCTCTTTCCCTGCCGCTTGCACTGCGTCGCTGTCGTCGCCATGGCTACCCCTAGTGTCCTAGCTTTTGACGCTGAGGGTCGCGCCATTGATTTTGAGGTCTGGTTAGACGACCTGCAGCTGTTCTTACAGTGCGACAAGGCTGACGACCTTTCTCTCTTTGATCTCACCTCTGGCGCCTCTCCTGCTCCTGCTACTAATGCTGATCCCGCTGTCCGCTCTAAGTGGGCCACCCGCGATGCTGCTGCACGTCTTGCTGTGCGTCGCCACCTCCCTACCTCTGAGCGTGCGCACTTTAGTCAGTACAAGAGTGCTCAGACCTTGTACGACGCTGTAGTTGCGCGCTACTCCTCCCCTGCCACTGCTGCACTGAGCCGTCTCATGCTTCCCTACCTCTTTCCTGACCTCTCTGCCTTTCCCACTGTCGCTGACCTCATTACGCACCTCCGCACTAGTGACACTCGCTACTGCGCCGCCCTTCCTGCTGAGTTCTGCGCTAAGAACCCCCCCCCCATGTACATCGCTCTCTACTACGTAGTCGCGCGCCTCCCTGACTCCCTTCGCGTCGTCAGGGACCACTTTCTCGCAGTCTGTCCCACCACCCTCACCGTCGACCTCCTCGAGAAGGCCCTCCTTGCAGCGGAGAAGAGCATAGTCGCTGTAGGTGCTTCTCGTGGTGACCCTCGCACCCCCATCTTTGAGGGGTGCTCTCCTTCCCCCTTGCTGCCCTCTGTTGCCTCTGCTGCTGCTGCCGACCTGCTTGGTCTTGAGTCGGTCGGCGCGGCGTCTGCCCCTAGTGGGAGACGTCGCTCCAGCAAGGGCAAGGGGGGCAAGGGTGCGGGTGGAGCTGGAGGGGGCGGTGGAGGTGGAGGCGGTGGCGGCGGAGGGAGTGGGGGTGGCGGCGGGACTAGTGGCGGGGGTGGTGGTGGTGGTGGTGGCAGCAGCGGCGGAGACGGTGGTGGTGGTGCCAGCGGTGGTGGTGGAGGCAGCGGCGGAGGTGGAGGCGGCGGAGGTGGAGGCGGTGGAGGCGGCAGCGGAGGAGGCAGTGGTGGTGGAGGAGGTGGAGCTGGTCGGGGTGGTACCCAGCAGCGTAGCGGCGGTGGGGGTGGCCAGCGCTCGCACCGGCAGCAGCAGCAGCGCTCGCGGGACATCCCTTCGCCTCAGCAGCTTCGTGAGTGGTACGCTGGGCGTCAGAGGGGTGGGGGTACTGGTCCCTGCACCTACGTTCTTCGTTCCGGCGACCGCGCGGGTGAGCAGTGTGGGGGTGCCCACGCCACCCAGCGCTGCTTTGGCCGCCTGACGGACGCCTGGCGTCAGCAGTTCCCTGGGGCTAGTGAGATCCCTCGCTGGGATGAGCTTCTCAGGGCTGGTGTAGCGATCTTTGATCTTGATTTTGATGCTATCCTTACTGCTATGTATGTTGTGGATTATAGTGAGGAGAATGAGGGTTACCGTTGTTTCCAGCCCGACCCGGGCATTGGTACTGCTGCGCTAGGTGCTTGTGAGGCTGCTGCTCTAGGTGCCAGTGCGTCTGCGCTCTCAGGTACTGGTGAGACTGCGCTCTCAGGTACTGCGTCGTCCTCGTCCTCCCTCACTTTCACACTTGACTCCGGAGCTTCTCGCTCCTTCTTTCGAGACCGCACTACCCTTACGCCGCTCGGCCGGCCGGTTGCAGTCTCCCTTGCTGACCCCTCTGGAGGTCCTGTCCTGTCTCACTTCTCCACTGTCCTCCCGTGTCCGGCTGCCCCTTCGGGCACCCTGTCGGGTCTGTACCTTCCCTCGTTCTCCACGAACTTGGTGAGTGGAGCGGACCTGCAGGATGGGGGTGTTCACCAGTTCACTCCTGCGAGTCAGCGGGTGACCCACTGCACGGAGGCACGCACAGGCCGACACCTGGCCACGTTCTCGCGTCGGCCGGGGTCGAGTCTCTACACCCTGACCGTTGAGTCTCCTCCTGTCCCTGCGTCGGGTCAGGTACTTGCTGCTGCGTCCCGGTCAGGTCCTGAGTCTGCCCCCTGTTCTTGTCGCCTCCTGTCTCACGAGACTCTCCTGTGGCACCACCGTCTTGGCCACCCCTCCTTGCCCCGTCTTCGGAGCATGGCTTCCCGTGTCCTTGTCTCTGGTCTTCCCCAGTCTCTCCCTCCTCTCCCCTCCGGGCCAGGACCTTCCTGTGTCCCCTGTGTCGAGGGTCGCCTCCGGGCTACTCCTCACTCCTCCCACTTCCCCCCGACAGAGGCTCCCCTGCAGACGCTTCACATGGATGTGTGGGGCCCAGCCCCCGTCCGTGGGCAGGGTTACGAGCGCTACTTCCTGTTGGTGGTTGACGACTACTCGCGTTACACCACAGTCCTCCCCTTGCGCAGCAAGGGTGAGGTTACTGAGGTGCTGATCGACTGGATCCGCGAGGCTCGTCTCCAGCTCAGGAAGAGCTTCGGCTCGGACTTTCCTGTTCTGCGTCTGCACTCTGACAGAGGCGGAGAGTTCTCTTCTCGCCTTCTGCGAGACTACTGTCGCGCACGGGGGATCCGCCAGACCTTCACGCTTCCGGACTCACCACAGCAAAATGGGATTGCTGAGCGCCGCATTGGCATGGTCATGGATGTCGCTCGTACGTCCATGATGCATGCGGCTGCCCCCCATTTTCTGTGGCCGTTTGCGGTGAGGTACGCGGCGCATCAGCTCAACCTTCACCCCCGGGTCTCTCGGCCTGCGATGTCCCCAGCCTTGCTGTGGACGGGGAAGGTTGGCGATGCGTCTGTGTTCCGTGTCTGGGGATCTCGGGCGTTTGTCCGCGACTTGTCTGCGGACAAGCTGTCCCCTCGTGCTGCTCCCTGTGTCTTCCTTGGCTTCCCCACTGACGCCCCAGGGTGGCAGTTTTACCACCCCTCCTCTCGTCGTGTTCTGTCCTCCCAGGACGTCACGTTCGACGAGTCAGTCCCCTTCTACCGTCTCTTCCCCTACCGCACTCCTTCCCTCCCCCCTCCCCCGGACTTCCTTGTGCCGGTTCCCCCCCCGGTAGACCCCCTCCCCCCTCAGGTTCCTGCCCCCTCAGGTGTGTCCCAGGTAGACGCCGTTGACCCGGTCGAGGTTACTGGTGACTCTGGTGCTGCTGCGGGTGCTGAGCCTGGGGGTGCTGACTCTGGGGGTGCTGTGCGCGGGGGTGCTGAGCCTGGGGGTACTACTGCTGGGGGTGCTGGGCCTGAGGGTGCTACTGCGGAGGGTGCGGAGCCTGGGGGTGCTGTGCCTGGAGGTGCTGGGTCTGGGGGTGCTGGGTCGGGAGCTGCTGAGCCTGGGGGTGCTGAGCTGAGAGCTGCTGAGCCTGGGGGTGCTGCGTCTGGAGCTACTGAGCCTGGGGTTTCTCCTGCTGCTGCGTCTCGCCGGGAGCCCCTCTCTCCACAGGAGCTGCGCGAGTGGTTCGCTCGCCGCTGGAGGCGTGCTGTTGAGTCTGGAGGTGCTGCTGGAGCTGGAGCTGGAGCTTCTTCGACCGTTGAGGGTGCGGGTGCTGCCGGTCCCGGAGCTGCTGGACCTACTGGTCCTCCTGGAGCTGGAGCTGCTGAGGGCGTTGGTGCTGAGCCTACTGCTGTTGGTCCTGCCGCTGGAGGTGTGGGTGGCGCTGGTGCTGTCGCTGAGGGTGCTGGTGCTGTCCCTGCTGAGTCTGGAGCTGCCGCGCGGCCTCGGCCGTACTTCGTTCCGCTCCTGCAGCAGGTTCTTGGTCTTTCTCCTCCAGTAGAGGGTCCACCGCCTGTCCAGTCGCAGTCCCTACTGGAGCCTTCCTCTCCACTGCCTGCTCCCTCTCCTTACACTGGTCCTACTGGAGGTCTTGCTGAGCGTCGTGAGCCTGCG